TTTTTTTATTAAATATTTATTTATTTGTGAAAAATACTTTGTCATCTAAAGTATAAGTATGTTTATTTAACAGATTTATTTTTTAATCCATTTTCAAATTATTTTTCAAGCCAATCAGAATCAAGGACCGGAACTATCCGTTTTATAAATAAATATATATATATATATATATATTTAGTATTTTTTATGCCTATCAAACAGCTGAAAGCATGTAAAGCTTTCTGAATGGCAAGCGCTTGCTGTCTTCTGTAATATCATTTAGAAATAATAAAGGACTAGATTTGATTTCATTAATAACGAATGGATTTTTTATGCTGATTGAAGCGTTTTTGCCGCAGGTTCCTCTTCGTACGCTCAGTTGCACTTTGGAGTCAGAAGATGAAGGTCTTCATTTACATTGAAACTGGCTTGAAGAAACGCAGTTGCCTTCTCTTGTGCTGAGCTGCTGTGCTTTTGTGTTCTGATGATAAACCTGTACAATTCTGTGGGACCAAAACCACGTTTGTTTGTTTTTGTTTTGTGTTTGTGTGAATCATCTTATAATCGAGCTTCCGTTGAAACCGCTTCAACGTCTGTGCATTAGTTCTACCTTATTTGTTGTTAAAGCAAAGCAATCATGTTACTGTATATTTGTGGAATGCTAATTTAAGTTGATTAATTTAAGAGGTGTTGAGAGAGTTTGCTGCTGCGCTGAGCCACGCTGTACTCGTCACAAACACTAATTAAACGAAGGCCAAACGAGCCTCGTTAAGGCTTTCCGAGCTTATCAGATACTCTACACTGTGTTTTATTTGCTCGCTCCCGTGAAAAGACCGCAGGACATTTGTAGAAGACATATTTTTGTAAAGGTAGGAGCTTCGGATTTTATGGGTATTTTGTCAAAACTGAAATAAAAATTAATATAATATTTGAAAACTGCCTTTGACTCTGTTCTCTTTTTCTCATTGTTTTTTTGACTAAAGATTGTCTTTTCAAAACCTTATTCCGTAATCCATGTATATTTTCAGTAAATTTTTCATTGGAAACCACTTAATTTATTGCGTTCATCAACAATTCAAAAATGTTTATCAGTCATTATTTAAAAAAAAAAAGAAAACATGGACAGAAAACTAATACAAACATTTATAATTATATCAATAATCACTGATTTTCTTCACTTGTTTTATGAGCTAAATACTGTATGTATTTCATGATGACCCACTGTTATTTATATTATATGACAGTTGTTAAGGCATTTGGAAGTAAATATGTTGAATATTATTATTATTGTTATTGATATGTCATGTATGCATGTTTATACATATATAAATTTTGTATATATAATATATTAATTAAAAAATTTTTTTTTAAGTATTACAAACACAGCCAGGGGTACAACCAAATAAACAAAGACACACAATGAAAATAAAATGAAGAAATAAAATTAAAAACATTAAAATGTTTACAAATAATGACAAATATGACTTTAAAATTAAAATCATTCTCTATTTCGTAACTGGGGAGCAACTAATTGTCCAGTCTACCTCATCATGGCCTAAGTATTATTCATGAGCTAAAAGCTCCGCTTTCTATCATTTTATTATTTTTATTTATTGTATTTTATTATTAATTATGCATTTTTGTTTATTCTGTTGTACCCCAGACTGCATTTGCTGTTCTTTAAAATCCATGTAAAAATTAAAGAAAGAAAACACCTTAAAGATTCGTTAATGTGAGGACATTGACCGCTCCAGATACGTTAAGTTACTCGAGCACGTGACAGCAGGATGGATTCTGATTGGCTGTCAATGTTTGTATCATTCATCAGCTGGGGAAAAAAAACGCTCTGTAAGTGATTCCAACGATATCGTTTCTCTGTGCCTTTATCGTTATAGCTGTGGTGTGTGGACTCTGCTATTCTTTAATATTGAGAACGAATTATTAGAACTATATCTTTAATAAACAGACGATATCGTTCGCTGGTGTGGACGCTAATATCGTTATCTTTATAGACCGATTCAGAGGAGACGTCACAGCTACGTCACTTGCAGCTGCGCGCGCATCCTGAATGTTTACAAACCTATCGAACGGGGCTTTACTCGTGAGTATCTTCACAAACTTTTATCATCTTTTGTGATTTTGATTGATTTTTGTCGCTGCATATCTGTATAGTCCCTCTAAACTGCGACCAAGCCTATATATTTGAATATGAAGTCGTTGAGAGTTTTCAGCGTTTAAATATTAGAACAAATATTTTTTTTGTTTTCAGTCAAATGTAAACATAGATTTTACATGACAACCTCCATCCGTTCCTAGATGCTTCTGGTTGATTTTTTTAGTATCCTGTGGAAATATCGTTTAAAACCTCGCTGTAATGACATTTCGATGCAGTGTGAATGAAAAGTCATAAAACGGTTTTCAACGGTTAAGACGTTGTGTGGTGATTTTATGTAATATTTTACATTTTAAAGTATTTGAAACAAACATAATGTTTATATCTCGTAATCCGAACCATTACTTGTTCTGTAATATTTACTTAACGTGTATTTGAAACCAACATAACGTTTATATCAAGTAATCAAGTCTGTGAAAAGCTTCGTTTTTCGTTGTTTATTTTCTCAATCTTGTGTCTAAACTCGGGTACAAAGAGTTCATTGTTAAGTAGTGATTATTTTATGATTAACAGAAACTATTCAGAGTCTTAAACCAGTTTTGTTATCCTCTAACTCTGTTCTCGTGTTTGATTGGACGATGGGAACGCAGCGTACCGGAAGTAGAAGGATCCGCGCGTCTTGAGGAGGTTTTCAGTCTCTTATGAGTGAGAATCTCAGAGTTTCTGTTGGTCTTCTCGGAGTTTGTGTCAGTGTGTGAGTGTGTGGTTCGTTCTGGAGTCTGTGTCTGTAGTTTGAAGTGTTTCTAATGTGATCAGATCGTGTCACTGTCACTGAGATGTGTAGCGCGCTGAATCACTCCATCAGCGCTGAGAGTTTGCAGTTATCGCTTCTTGGCCTTTTGGCTAAGATCGAGTGTGATCGACCCAAATGGATGCAACGAGAGAGGATGCACCTTTGCCGACCATGGTGGTGCGGCTGAAGAATACGGTTCGTTTACAAGTCAAGGTAGATGCGGCTGCTGATGTTAAGAGAAGATTTGGAAGAGAGTTCGTGGTGACTGAGGTGTTGAGAGAAGTTTTTGGTGTTTTGGCATCTTTAATTTTTTGCTTGCAAGATTTTTCAAACTCTGGTTTTATGGATTTGACTTTTTTTCAATTAAGAGACTGTTGCATTCTATGAAGCATGGGTGAAGAAGAAAGAACACCAGCGTTTAACAGGCCTGCATCTCTACCCTGCCTTTGCTCAGGATTTTCTGCCACTAACGATCCACCTGTACAATCCTTTTGTGGAGGATGGGGACGTCTTAACATTCTTGGCCAGGTATTGTGAGACGGTGAGAGGAGGTGAACGTTTGAAGGACCGGTTTGGTATATGGACTGGAAAGAGAAGATACCTGGTTAAGTTGCGTGCAGACACAGCGTCACCAGGTGGTTTAGTACATCCACCTGGGTCTTTTTTCATTGGATCAAACAGGGGCTTTTTGCACTATCCAGGTCAACCGGTGTACTGCAGGAGGTGCGGTGGGCAGGGGCATGTGAAAGCAGACTGTACAGGACAGAGATGCTGCTTTTGTGGATCATCTGTTCCGGGCATGTCCTAGCAGACAGAAAACATATGCCAGCCTGTTTAAGGAGGGACAAGGTCTGCAGGCTGATTTTGAAGGACTATTGATGAGTGTTCCGGGCGGAGGGGAGAGTCAAGAGGCAGGCCCTTCAGGAGTGGGTGCAGGTGGTGGAACGGTGAGAGGGCAGGCGGCGGAAACAAGCAACGGAAATGAAGGCGGTGTGCAGGAGCCTCAGATGAGTCCTTCGCAGCAATGGTCAGAGGTCGATGTTGCAGAGGTACTGTGTGGCATTTACGAGGAGACGGAGCTTGGGAAGGCAGAGTCTACAGGTGGCGAAGTGTAGTCTTCTTCTGCAATGGAAATGGAGCAGGACACGATGGGGCCTGACACGGGCTAAGACCTAAGGAGAAGGAAGCTTTGTGAGGATGTTACTGGAGATCGGGGAAGGAAGTGCAGTAAAGTCCAAGAACCTGTACTCAGGCCGGTCCAGAGCAAGGAGGCTGTGGGTGAGATGGACACTGGGAAGAGGGTGGTGGGGGAAAGTGGGATAAAAGGGAGAGTGCGGGGTGGAGGGGTTTTGGAAAAGGTCAAGTCAATTTTGCGGGAGGATAAGGAGGGAGGGGAGAAGGGGAGTGAAGGAGGGGAAGGAGGGGAAGTCCTGGTTAAGTTGCGTGCAGACACAGCGTCGCCAGGTGGTTTAGTACATCCACCTGGGTCTTTTTTCATTGGATCAAACAGGGGCTTTTTGCACTATCCAGGTCAACCGGTGTACTGCAGGAGGTGCGGTGCGCAGGGGCATGTGAAAGCAGACTGCACAAGACCGAGATGCCGCTTTTGTGGATCTGCAGAGCACATGGCGACGTCTTGTCCAGAACCAAAAACCTGCAGTTTATGTGGAGGAGGAGATCATCTGTTCCGGGTATGTCCTAGCAGACAGAAAACATATGCTTTGCAAGAATGCCATTTGAAGGATAAAAAAGATGTCTCTGTTTTTTCTGCGGGGTGGGAAATGGGGCCTTCTTTTTGGGGTGTGGGGAATGTCAATGCAGACAGGGTGGGTATCTTATTTTATTCATGGGACTTTGTTATTGAGTCTGCTTTTGTTATCATCCCAGGGAGGGTAGTGGTTGTGGATGTGAGGTGGAGGAGGATAGCTTTTCGCTTCGTATATGTTTACGCCCCAAGTAAATTGGGTGATAGGGAGGGTTTTTTGGATAGTTTGAATGCAATTTTGTATACAAATAGACTGATAGTGCTGGGAGGGGATTTTAATGT